CGGCAGCGCCTCGATCCTGGCCCAGCTGTGGAAGGTGCCGTCGCTGTTGGGAACGATCTCGCCCCACTCCGTCTCCTGATCCCGCAGTTCATCCCCCTTCAGCCAGTTGATCCCGATCATCCCAGGGTAGAATCCGTACGCGCGGCAGGACAACGTCAGGATCCCGTGTTCCTCTTTCCCGGACACGTGGACATCAGGGGGATCTGGAATGGGATAATGGTGAGATCAATCCATGGAATTCCCATGGGAATGGGACTGGAGGGAGATCCATTAATGGAATTCTCATGGGAATGGGACTGGAGTGAGATCCATCCATAGAATTCCCACTAGGGGAATGGGATGGGACAACAGTGGGATCCATCCATGGAATTCCCATGGGAGTTAGATGACTCAGATATATCCATGGAATTCCTCAGTTCCACCCTCCCAAATCTCACATTTCCAAATCCCATTCCCATGGGAATTCTGTCTCCCTCACCCTTGCGCTCCAGCGCCGCCTGCCCGTATCCGATGTGTTTCTGGAGCACTTCCAGGCACGTGTGCTCCAAGTAATTCATCATGTTCTCCACCACAATCCCATCGTGTTCCCATTTCCTCTTGGTGATCTGGGCAGCTCCATCGGCCGCCACAAAGCTCCCGGATCCCAGCTCGAAGGAGATGAAATCCCGCCCATCGTAGCCGTGCCGATAGGATCCACGGACACTCCCGTCGGACAGGAGGTCACAGCCATAAAGCCGCTGCACCGTGTGAAGACCTGGGATGGTGGGATCCATGGAGATCCCTGGAATTGTGTCCCAGTCCCACAGATCTCATCCCAGCCCCCTGGAGTGCCCTGGATCCCCATCCCAGCCCCACAGATCCCCCATTTCCCAGCTCCCCCCACTCACCTCTGCTCTGGTTGTACCGGCCCTGCAGTATCTCCAGGGCTGTGGCAGCCACGAGCTGGTTCCCCTCATTGATCTGGGTCTCTTCATCCCAATATCCCGGCTCGGCTCCGGCCGCCATCCAC